TTCGACTGGCACGCTATAAATGCTCACTCTGTAAAAAGAAATAGTTAAATTAAAGCGAATTCGATAAAAGAGATTTTTCTTTGTATAACGAATGCTTAATTTTTTAAATCAGAATTTGATTTAGAAGTTTTGAATTCACTTCTATCTATTTCCGCTGAATACAAACTTATATTATATCAAAGTTATAATTTCTTACTCAACAATGTAACTGTTATATATAATATGTGTTATATTGTTGAATGAAAAATTATAATATTATGTATTATTACTGTTAGTTTGTATTCTACTCACAACGCGCAAATATCGCACAATTTTTAAATTAAACATATTATAAAATTAAGAAATAATCTAATATAATCTATTGAATTAATTTCTTTTTAATTTCTGATTACTTTACCGAAACTATAAAATACGTAAATAGAAAAAAGAAATTCAATGATAAAACCCATTCTTGATTTCATAGATTAGGAATTCATAATTTTACAGAGAACAAATTTTCATCAATTCCTTTTAATTTTTTTATTTTTTGCAAAGTGCATAAAAGCGAATCGAAGTACAATTCTCACATTGCAAGCCACATTCATCGCATCCATCTTGCATTTGTAAATGCGTTTAAAAAATTTTTCATCGGTACATCAAATATAAACATTCATCTCTTTACAATTTATTATTCAATGTTCGCTCATCGAAATCTTTTGAAATACGCTGCTCATTCCATCGCATGTTTTAGGTTTTACAAAGCTCGACTTTCCTTCTGATTGTCAATTTCTGAACGAAGATTAGGATAGTTGATCATCGTCAGCATGAACTTCTACAATTTTTAATACTCCAAGAACTGTAAATATGATTTTTCTGCTTGTAATCAGAATAACAATGAATAGAACAACACCAAATCATTTGATATCAGCAGTGTAGAAATTTGCAATTACTTAAGTGCAATGACTAAAATATTAGACTATTGGTTACACTCTGCCTCAATTATACTACACTGCTGTTTTAGCGTAGGAATATACAATTAATTCAACTGCTATGATTTTTAAAATATATATGGATACGACAATATTTGGATTCACGTAATAATGTGTTATAGTATTATAATCGCTCATTAAGCGGCTAAGTAGCCACTCAATGTTATTAGTACTTATCTTTAGATCTAATCACATTAAATTGCTACTTAGTCATTGAACGATTATAATACTGAATACAAACATCTTTGAGATTCTTTTAACTTACTATTCTTTTTCTCTATCTGTACAGTGTCAGTTAATGCGGTCAAAATCACGGAGAATCTTTTCTTCGCCATTTTCGGCCAAAAAGGTACCGAAGACTTTTCATTAAACAAGAATCAGCCAAAGTGGACGGTTTATTTTTTCAAGGTGATTTTTTCAGTAAATAATATGATTATCTATATAAGTTATTTTTTTATATGTTAGAATTTAATAAATGTTTTTTTGTTTCAAGGTGTCATTCTCATTATACATGCTCGTCAGTGTCATAGTATTGATTAATCTATTAATTGCTATGATGACTGACACATATCACAATATTCAATCACAGAGTGATATCGAATGGAAATACGGTCTCAGTAAACTAGTTCGTAAAATGCAAAAGTAAGTAACACGATTGTAAAAAAAAGTAAAATCTCTTTGCGAATACAAAAGTATTAATAAAAATATAAATCTCTGATTTTTATATCTTCAATAAATGAATTTTGCAACTAGGCTTTTATTAAATTAAGATAACTGATAAGAGATACATCAAGATAAATCATTGATGATATTTCGAATTATGTCACTTTTGAATTATTATGAATTTTGTTGTAATTTTGCAGGATAACAAAATCGTTACAATTCAAAAAAGATGATCTTTTTAAGAATTGTGAAACGAAAATAACAAAAATGACATTTGATCGATCATTTCTAAAAGTATATTCTTTTTGCCGATATTATTTACTTAGTCAATAATTTTCTATTTAAAGTTGAAAAATAATTCTTTTCTAAAAAAAAATGTAATTTTTTTAGTTATGTCACTTTTAAAGTAAAGGAACGATATAATTTTTTCATCAAACTTTCGTGTAAAACTTAAAGTGTGTAATTTCTTATGCGCTTTCATTTAAATTTGCAAACCTTTACTGTAATATTATTCTGATTTTTGTTTTAGAACAAGAACAGCCCCATTCCCGTTAAATCTCGTTACCACATGGGCAGAATATATTAAGAACGCTTGTATGAAAGAACGTATTGCAAGGCAGAAAATCAGCAGATCGCGTGGGCACATGGAACCCGATGCGCAAAGGATTTTTCCAAAATTTTCTACTGTACGTAAATACTATGTCCCTATTTATCAAAATATAAAAATATTACGTTTTACTAGAGAAATTTACAATATTGCTATATGATCTAATAAAGAAGGTCTTAAGTCTCTTTCCGATTTTGATAACCTTTGAAAATGTTATAATAGGATTAAAATAGGAGAGGATACATTTTTTTTAAATAAGTTTTCTTACACACGTTAAGGAAGATAAAATTTAAAAAAAATCGATTTTTATCTTTCTATATTAATAGAAATAATAAGATATATAAAAATATTTTTAAAAAACTTTTTGATGAAAGTAACTGATAATTTTAATGATATAATTTTTAATGATGTATTCAGATTTTCCGAAAATGTTTTTTTTTTCTTTCAACGTACTTCTAACATCCATTATTTTTTAGAATTTTGCAAAACCGTTTTTATAGTCAAATTAAGATTTATTTAAAAATACATTTAACTATACATATATACAATACAAAATTATTTTTTGAAAATTTTGCAAAATAAGTCATAAATAAAAAAGGAAGGTCGAAAATTGCCGATGTTTTATTAAGCAATTTCAGAACATTTTATCTTTTTTTTTTATTAATTGAATTTCTCGTAATCTTCTTTTTCTTTTTTGTTTTAGAATAGTAGAATGCTTCCACTACCGCGAGCAGCGAAGGAACGAATTAATTTCTCCTTACTTCAATCAAGCTCGACTACCAGTCAAACTTCTTTAAATAATATTCCGAAGATACAAAATATCGTTGATTGGAATATAGTCCGTCGAAAGTATCGTATGCGATTCGGAGACGAAATCGAGAAACCGTCCAGTGGGGAGGTGACGCTTGCTAAAATGGCTTGAACAATAAAAGTGATACGCGCAACATATATTCTATTATTACATGCAAATTTCCATGCACGTAATTTTTTTATTTTGTATCGGCCTATTTTATATCGTAAAGTATTTCAGATAGAAAGATATATATATATATAGTACTTTCTACGTTTGTACGTTTTCTTGCGATATCGCTAATTATAACGAAATATATATACAGGTGTCATAAGTATAGATATCGAGAAATGGCTCTATTACTGCTTATTTTATCTTGCCCTTTCCAAACGGTGGTTGTGCATTGGTTTGCAGATAAAAAATACCTTGAACGTTAGGATTGATAAATTCGCCCATAACGGCGGTGCTAAAATTGTTATCGTCGCATTTACCAAGTTGGAAATCCATCCAATTGGAGCATTTCACAGCGACAAAGCCATCAGGATGCACGATCGACTCGGTGAAAAACTGATGCGATCTACCGTGGCTGCAGGTTTCTAAAAAAATACAAGTTAAATCAATATTCTCATGCGCGTAATATTGTAAAATTTAATGCTGGCATCATACGGGATGAAAATACAGGGCATCCAGGTTGCCTAAATGTTCCTCCGTTCGGATAAAAATCCGCGTGGCCAATAGGTCTGAGAAAGCCTAAACTACCGGCGCAAGTGTGAATAACATCCACAAAATTGGCGTCTGCGGCATCCAATCGCTCTTCTGTATCTTTAAGATAAGGCGTCTCGAATGCCGGCCCAGCCGGATCAAGTCCGGTAATTCGACCGAGCTTCTTCGACATATAATTACCGATATGTCCAGCTATATGGGCACCCAAACTATGTCCCACAACGTGAATATCATCGAAGGATACTTGAGTTTCTGATTCGAGAAATTCGATAAATGCAGCCACGTATTCTCCCACCTGAAAACATGAATTTCGATTGTGCATTACATTTTTGCAAAAAAAGTATTGTAAAAAATTAATGAGCACTTTAAAAAATGAAATCGAAAATTCTCCTAACTTCGCGAAACCAATTTTATTTTCATTTTCATTGGTTTGTATACAATTTATATATTGTGTGTGTGTAAAAAAAAAAACAAATCTTTTCTTTTCCAGCATAATTTGCGTTATGTTTTAAAATTAGCATTTTTTAAATTATATTCTATATTGATATAAATTTTGCAATCATGTATGTGTTTTTTTCACAAGAAAATTAGAATTTGAATTGTAGATTCAACTATCTTCAGAATATGCATTTTACTCACCTGATGAATAAGTTTGACGGATGTTAGATATTCTTTTGTTGAACCGGCGAACCAATCTACACAAATTACATTGTAATTCCCAACATTGAGATAATTTCGCCGAATGTCGTGTAGCCAAAAAGCATTTCCGCTCTCTGCCCACCCGTGAATAATAACCTTGGTAGGCCACTCAGGATTAAATGGTGAATCCTTCAATTGAGTAGCATCAGCCACTCGTAGAGAAACAGGTTGTTCCTTATTGTTCTTAGTATAAAGTTCATAATTTATATCTTCTGCTTTAAAATCTATACCAATTATATTGCCGATCGTCGCACGATCATTTGCAATAATCGATGTCGGACTTAAAAAGACTTCCAAGAGACCTTCTTCGGGATGGTGATCTTGAAAATTTTGAATCGATGGTCGATTACGCAACAATTCTGCTATATTAAAAGATACATCTAAAAATGAATGGAAAATAATAAGAATAAATGATACATTTACCTCTATTAGTATAACTAAATTATATTTTTGATAAAGTCGAAATTATTTATATAAGAAACCTTACTTAGGAACAGAAATACGAGGAATGTTGAAATAAAAGACATTGTGATATTTTTCAATACTTGTATTAGATACAGTGTTTTTTTTTCTTTTATACCTTCATATTACATAAGTAAAAATATTCTTGGATTATTCAATCCATTAGATCTACTAACATCGAACAATATACCTAAGTTGCTCCACGAACATCCGGTATTTGTTTATCCTAATTTAAACTAAGCATTATATTGAAATTTCGTTGTATATACCTTTCCTATATTTGACAAAATATATACATAAACAAAATATACGCTTAAACATAGTTTTGTAAATATCCATAAATTTTCTTTAGGATATAAATCAAGAATAAAAAAATATTGATTTTGATATTGTCAGATCTCTAGTGCTGATTTAATTGGCATATACTATAATTCTCTTTGGTCGAGTTACGATATGAGTGTTCCAATATACATTGTCAGTATTGAAACTCTATAATAATTTACATGTATATTATAGATTTTCAATACTAGCAGTGTATATATCGAAATACTATAATCGCATGCATCACAGAACTTTTTAAAGTCAAACTAACTTTGCACATTATTGTAATACATTATGATTATACATCAACGATTATAAGAATTGCATTACAAGGATGTATATTAAAGAATTCTGGATATGCAATTTTAAATAACAGTCATCAACATTTAATTTTATGATCTGCTTTTTTGAAGAAATATAGTTTCTTTGCCATATCTGACACATGTAACGACATTTAATCCTAATATAGCCGCTTCCTCACGTATAACTTCATATTCTTCTTTTGTAAAACCTTCTGAGAGATTTTGTCTTACTACATCATTATTATTGATAAGTCTTTCACACAAATCGCGGGCGGCTTTTCGAAATTCATTAACTTTCATTTGTTCTTTCTTGGATCTGAAGCAATTTTTCCACAAGCGTTTCTCTATTTCCAGATACTCACGCTGTTTCAAATTTGTCTAAAAAAAAATGAAATAAAAAGAATATACTGTTACAACAAATTATTTTGTAAAAAATTTTCAACTTACTGTCCGAATTGCTTTTTTAATAGAGTCATTGTGCGGTTCTAATACCCAAGCTTTCTGGAACTCATTCATTGCTTCATTATATTCTCCAATACTCAGCAAAGCTTTTCCATACCTAGAATACAAGAAAAAAAATTTATTATATAATCCTGATTTAATATATTTATTAAGCAGTTAAATCAGTAAAAAAATACACACTGATATTGGCTTTTAGCTGTTGGTTTTGGAACTTTCCTTAAAGCTAAGCAAGCTTTAGTAGGCATGTTTTCCTTGTTATGACAAACTCCAAGATTGATATAAGCTCGTGAGAGTAATTCATTCATTTCTTTTTCTTCTAAATTATCATTTAACTTGATTGATTCCAAACAATCAATAATTTTTCTATATCTATAAAAAAATACATATTTAAGAAATATGACTGCATATTTATAGAAATTTTATATCAGTTACTTACTCTCGTATCGCCTGTTTGTAGTTAAATTTTGTACAATAGTCTTTGGCAGTCACAAACATATGTTTCACAGGCTGTATCACATATTTAAATAATCGTTTCTCCTCGTCGGTAAGATTTTGATATGTTTGTGCACAGCCATCATCAATATAATCAACTAAATGAACAATAAAGACTACTTCCTCATTAGGTGGAATACGTGGTGGACAACCAACAGCCTTGTAAGCATAATCAGGATGTATCAAAAATACTGCTATTTCATGCTTTTGCATAGAACGTATACCAATTTCTAAACCAGGTATAATAAAACTCTGGCCTAAACGCAACGCTCTTGGTCTCCCAACAGAGTAAGTAGAGTCAAAAGGCTCATCTCTGTATTCAAAATATCCAATATAATGGACAATCGCTTGAGCATTATTTGGTATAATTTCTCCAACACCTTTTTGTTTAACATACTTCATGACCTAATAACAATTTTATATTAAGTTTGTTAAAATTACATTCATGATTTCATTTAACCATACTGACAAACTTATCAATAAAATCGAAGATAATGTTATCTCTGTAGAAAAATATACAAGATAATATAAAATCTGATTAACTTTTCCATTTGAAATTAAGCTCGTCATCTTAGTTTTCAGCTTCGAAAAGGTTATACCACAGAGTGATACAGTTTCTTTCTCATCCTCTTCATCTTCAAAATCATTCATGTTTAACATATTTAACATCTCTTCATTGCTAAATTGTACATGTGAAGAATATGAAAATTCTTCATCCTCCTCATTGTTATTAACATCATCTCCAATTTCAAACATCATTCCATCTTTATTCATCAAATCCCTGGAATAATACAACAAATATAAGAATACAGCCTAACACATGCATATAAGTTTATTAATATATAGTTCTTATATACCTAATCTTAAAACCATCCATCAAGGAATTCATGCTTTTCGCCATTTTTCGAGTTAAAGAATTCCGTCGAAAAATTCCTTGTCAATCAATTCAATCAATCAATTCGCCTTCCTTCCTTTCTTCCTCTGATGTGAGCTAAGTAATTTTCTCTTATAGTACTTGTATTACTGCAAGAGTTTCTTCTTTCTTTTCGAACATATATAATACAGATATACTATACAATACCACAACTTGTTGCATGGGTTAATTACTCAGAAATCCGATTCAAGAAGAACACTCGATAAAAACGCGAGAGTTCATTCAAGAAGTATTACTTTGTCCTTGTTCACTGAATATTAAACAAGATAAAATAATATGTCGATGGGGACTCGTGGAGAGTGAAATTTCTGAAGGAAGCCAATGGCCATTACATAGCATCAGAAATACTAAAACGTTCGAAATCGCGTTGTCTTCGTCCTTTGCTGCTGATAGTGCAGAAGTCTGTTCTTTTCGGCTGAACTTCGTACACCGTTCATATGGCCTCCTTTTCTCTCCAAGGCTAAGGATACGTTAGCGGACTTCAATCAACGCCATTATTCGTGTAACTTCGTTATTCACTGAATGTTGAACAAGAATAAAATGATATAGAAGGAGCAGTCGGATGGAAATTCGAACATAACCCGATGTAGAGAGAAAGAGAGAAAAGATAAAACTGGAAGTTCAGCTGAAAATGACAAATTACTGAAGAGAGCGCTGAGGTTCATCTTACGCAGGCGCACTGCGCACTGAACAAGCAAAACCGGCAGAACATTCATAAATCATATAATATCGTCTGTCATCGCATATTCTACGCCGCCCACGCGCTAAAATATTGATTAATTGCACTTTTTTGAATGGTTTCTAGTACTTTCCAACTGCTTAAAGTGGCCATGGGGCATAGAAAAAATTAAGGCAGTAAAACATAAGAATGGATTCGCTACTTGCCTTATGATCTTTACTGTGATTGGCTAATTCGTTTACTGCTTATGCTTATTGTCTTACGTTTTTGTGTGTGCCATAGGCTTGGGACTCATCGGCTGCGTTCAGCAGAACGTTTATTTTGTAACTGTTGGAAGTTTTCTTCGCGCTGATTGGGTTATGCTTTTAGATCAAGAGGATGGGTCCAATCTCAGCAGAGAATCATAAAACGATTGTAAAACACTGTTGTGTTCTGCTGAACGCAGCCATTCATTGCCAGTACTGATAATGTATAGTATACATTATTAAATTGTGCTCAATCTGTTATTTTCGTTTGAAAGCCTTAAGGGAAAGCCTTTTTCCTAAACTATAGATTTTTAATACAGCCAGTACAGACAAAACATTCATGAGTTGAGCGTGCAAAAATGTTTCCATTATAATCGTAATTAAACGATTAACAATAGAAACAAATTCCTAAAAATTGCAAATGCAAATAAATGAAAGGAGACAATAATTATTTAATTAACTATTTAATTAACTTATACTCTTTTTATTTATAATCTTTTTTTATTAATTTTTTAAATTCGTAATTATAACATCATATTTATCGATAATTATAATCTTATAATTTTGTAATTTTTTATATTTTTACAATATTAACGATATATAGTATATGTAAATATGTTTTTCTTTTGTAATAACAACTCAAAAATATACAATGAATAAATACTTAAGATGAGAAAATAATTATAGCAGATTGTTCATTTAAATAGTTTGCTTCTTTTAATCGCCCGTGATGTCCTCATTAAGTTTCTGATCAATCTATCAAAAAATTACCGATTAGCAAGTAATACGGATACGTAACCAGCTGATGTCTTTATTAACTGAAAAAGAAAATAAATATACTATGTTAGACATAACTTAAATTACTAAACAATGAAACAAATTAGATATTAAATTTTTAATGTAGGTACGACTCTAAATAAGTTTGATTTAATTATTAAATTTTGATAAATAACGTATTTATTTAGAGATAAAACGATAGTACGAATGCGCGATTAAATAATTATATAATAAACATGATTATATAACGGTTTTATGAAGATGGATTAAATTTCTATTAACTTCTTAACTGATAATTAATTTAATCATTAATGTTTGCAATAAAACTTCTGACTATAATTTGTAGTTATAATTTATCTCTAATCTCTTTTCACAAGAGAAAATGTAACAAGAGATAATTTAATTTTATATTAATAAAACACTGCCGAGATTAGATTCGATAAGTTAATTATCAATTAAGTTAACATTTATACAGGCACGTATAAAACGAATTTACAAACGTCTTACACTGCAAAACATGGACAATGTCATGGGAAATATCCTGCCCGCGGTAATATATAGAGGTCTTTCGGCGCGAATCATTATAAGCATCAGGTTTTTGGCTTCATTCGGCGTCCTCAAGTACCACGTGTAGTTATACACTGCATAAAATATTCCTTCACCCTGTAAATATTGTTATAAATTCTATATTAATCCCATTATTTATTTATATAACATGAATGACAAATTCAAAAGCAACTTTTACGACCCAGATAGCACGACTAATTCATTTAAATTCGACAAGTATTTACCTTCTTAAGTTCTTTATTAATGTAATCTGTTTGAAATGAACAAAAATATTCCTTCTCAATATAAAGGATTCTATAAAAGTATATCTTTTAACTTCTTATAACTCTCTCTCTCTTAGAATATTACTTAAAAATTATTTCAATTTCATTGCGAATTCATATAGACAAAAAAAAAAGATTATCTCTTTTAAATTTAAAAAAGAGTTCACAATTGACAATTTAAAAATTAAATTTTTTGAAATCCTCAGGAATATTTTTAAGATAAAAACGGAACAGGAATTCATTTCGTATATCGAGAATAAGAAAAGATTTTTTTTTACCCTCTGTGCTATCTAAGGCGATAGATGTAAAAATTGTTTCAATTTAATAAAAAAAGCGCTGCAACAGCTTTGTAATTTTATTTATTGTACTGACTATTTTTATTAACAATGAACACTTACTTTGGCTATAAGAATCTCTCCGACCACGCAATACAGACACATGTGAGCGAATGTATTGATAAGAATCGAAATGAGCCAACATATTCGCATAATGGAAACACCTTCACCACCTCCATCAATGATCTAGACACGTTAATATATTTTCTATCGACGTTTTTATTTTAAGAAACTCATGTTTTAATATCTTAGTTTCTTTTCCTTTGGGATGTATGATTACGTATAATTTTACAGGGAATTGATGAGAAGAGTATATCGCGATTAAAGATCTTTTCATTACTATTCTTGCATTTCCATATAAAAAAAAATATGTTAAATAAAGAACTCTCGATATATTTAAAAATTACAAGAAAATCCTATAAAGAAAAAATAAGAATCAAGTAATTAGTAAAAGTAAAATGCAAATTAAATTAAATCAGTTAAACTGCGTTTGATTCTTAATTGTTATATGTACGATTTTCTTTTATAATTTTCGAGAAATAATTTCAAAAAGGGCTAACTTTCTTGTCTCATTCGCCAACTTACATTAACTATCAGAAATCCTTGTAGGCAAAATAACATAGCGAAAAACACTAATAGTGTCAGAAGCATCAAATTGAATGTGTTGTCGATAATATCAACAGACCTACGATTTAAGATATCGTATAACATCGGATTCCGATCAAATGAAAAGTCTCGGAGAATATATACCTTTACTTTTCCAGGGAGAAATAAAAATCGATTCGATGTCAATTAGACGTAATCGACATCAATCCTATTTTTGTTTTTCTCTGGGTTGCAAATGATGTATTCGTTCGACATACATATATAAGAAGCTAATGCCATGTAAAAGTATTGTGTGGGCTTATCACAAATTAATACAGTAATTATTATCGTATTACAAATAATATATGTATAATAATAATCGAAATGTAAATCAGCAATGCGCAACCTTTTTTAAGAGTCATTTTCAGAAAGTCTTCTTTCAGAAATAGATCAAATCGGCATAATGTTTATTTCGTTTGCACAAAATGGAAAATATTATTTTATATTTCTGCTTATGAGTTGGCAGGGAGTTGATTGTGCATCACATTTTAATATAAATGTGTTCGAGCTTTCTTTACACGCGCAATATGTTTCAGCAATGTTTAAACTTCAATCAAATTGTCATACTTCCTTAGTCCTTTTTATATTATTTGAACAAAAGTCACAGCAGTGTAAAACACATAAAATTATTATAAATCGAGCTTAATACAACCTAATGAGACGAAGATGATCCTTGATATTGAAGGATAATCCGATATCGAAGTCTTTGAAGTTGTTTAAACCGAGAAATCGCTCTTTGAGAATTTCCATTTGGGCACATATGTGAAACACAAGCAAGCACAAAAAAGTATCGATGCCCGTGTAAGAAATCGCGGCCATTAAGATCGATATAGCTTGGGCGGAGATCACAATTTCGTATAATGGAGTCTCCGTTATGTCTCGCAAGTAATACGTTTGCACCAGCATAGGTCTTCCCGGGTCTGTCAGATTTGTTAAATATCTTGTAGTATATCCAAAGCAGGGAGGAATGATGAGAATAATGCACGCTAAGGTCATCATGGTACATCCGAACATGACCATTATTCTGGCAATTCTCGCTTGCTTTACCATAGTGTCTCGTTCTTGCACTGTTTTTGTCCTGAGCCAATCTTCTACGATCATATTTATGACCGGTTCAAGCTCTTTGGAAAATGTAAAAGTATATAATTGATCGAATTGACGCTTCGAGAAATAGATAAAATATTATGGAATAAAACGGTAATATCGGTGTAAAAAGAAAAATTTACCTTTTTTATGAAACCACATTATGATAAATTTCAAGACGGTCACTGAGAAAGGCAGACCGATTTGCATATTGTCTGCCATCGCCACCATATCACCCCAGACTCTCAACAACGCTAGGATTCCGGGTATGACCGCTGCACAAAGCATTGTAGTAAAAATAATAATAGCGCGTAGATCAGCCAAAAATTTTTGTCGACGACTTAACTTATCGTCTGGCCAGAGACCGAGAATCTTCAAAGAAACCCGATTTATTCCGATCGCCCAGTCTAAGTCTATTTAATTACCATACTGTTATTGATGATGAAATCGAGATATGGATTATAATCTTAGTAACATCGTGGAAATAAATCTTACAAGGGATCTGTCACTGTTCAAAATATAAAAAATAATGACCTAAAATGATATAAAAGAATAGGAATGTTTCAGATTTTTGTGTTTAATAATATATTTCGAGAATCGAGTCTGTTCTGAACAGTTGTGACAGGTTCTTTATTAACAGTAAGTAACATCGCGTAGTTCAAGTCAATTAAAAACCAAATTATACTTGTAATGGGTTTAAGTTTTCGGAATAATTAATTAGCTAAACAATAATGAAATAAAATTCGTGAAGTTTTGCGGTAAATTTTTCTAGATAGACAGCGAAGTATATTTCGTATGAAAATTGTTTTCGCGTCGTTCAATCTTTAAACAAAATCTGCCGTCTATTCTATTGTAATATTGGCAAGAAAACAGTATCTTGAACTACCCCCAACACTGTAAAGTTTCGCGAATTCTCGTACGTTTTAATAAAAATATATAGATTATAAATTTAT